CGAAAATATCGACTACTAATTAAATATTTCTACTAATTTTATGTGGTTCTATGTAGCTCCGTCATCCACTTAAGCTAAGATGATAACTATCTTTAATACTTTTGGTATAGTACTCAGCAACCTGAGGATATTTATTTTATAATAGATACAATACGAATTAACTGGCAAATATAGTAATGTTTACAAAATGTGCGCTCCTCCGCAAGGCATAGAAGAGTTCACGGTATAAGTCTTGGTAATCAGATTTTATTATTTCGTATGCAAAAAACCAAGAAATAGCTCAACAGTACTTTCATACAAAAACAATGAAATTTTTATTATATTATTTTTTGTCAACGATAAATGGTGAAAGTAGTGTCCACGGAGAATATTTTTACTTTAACGTTTAGTACGGAAGGTTAACTTCAAGTACGTACAAGGCTATTAAAAAGTAAAAAAAATTGGTATTTTATCATTTCATCCTAGACTGTCAGATTAGACTCTCTAATAAGAATATTAGAATAAGCTTTAGACGCCAGAAAAAACATTGATTGATTTTTGTTATCAAAGTCAAGAAGTCTAAGATTAATTAAAAAAAGGCTAACTTCAAATGTATTTTTGTAATTACTTGCGAAGTCATTATAGTTCAATTAAATTGATAATAAATCAGGACTATTTCAAAAATATAACCTTTTAAATAAACCCACCTCTATTAAAATCAGCCGAATTATTTCACAAATATATGGACATAGACATAAAAAAACCTTCGGTCGAATATACAGAACCTATACATCTTTTAAGTCGGCAAAAGAAAATGGACGATGAATGTCATATAGTGAGACATATTTGTGAACAAATTGCAACAGAAATAAAACTACGTTACTTATTTGCATATTGACAACAATTCAGGAAACAACCAAGGAGTAACTTATATGGAGTATTATTGGATTTTTACTGAAAAATGCAATCTAACATAAAATATCAATTGTCTTATGTTTTATCCTAATCATATACTCCACCACAGGAAGTTAATCTTTAAAACTAAGTTGAAATTGAATAAAAAGATAACTATTTCGTCTTTATTAAGATCACTTTAGTTATCTATTGATGTTGGATATTACTTTTTGTCTGTAATGGAAATACAAAATTAAACAGTCAGAATTGTACAACGCAATTCTTATTCGTAATTCCCAAATGTTTCACTTCTTGAAGATCATTTGTTACATGACAGTTTATAAAAATAGTGAACAAATTTGGAAATTCAAATATTCTGCTAACATTTCTTATAATACAATTAGATGTAGCACGAAGAGAAAAAATTTAATTAAACAACTCATTTTTTCTCTCACTTTTTTGACAAAAAATAAAAATTAGAAATATTGAATTTTTGTCTTTGTAGTATATTATGATAACGTATTATATTTTTCAAAACTACGTGTGGAAAGCTCGTTTTTCAATGCACGTACTTTCTGCTTGGAGTATTGAAAAGCTATTTTTTTTTAATTTATATGTGTAGCTTGCAAAATTAGTAAATATGACATACATACTATTTTTTAAGAACCCTATTACTACGAAAAATTTTTAAATAATAATAATAAACATAGTACTTAGCATTCAATAGTATACGTTTTAAAGTTATATTTTATTGCAAATTATAACAACTGAAATATACAACTTGTTCAACAATTATAATACAACCAACGAAGAATTAACAATATTACCTAAAAGCAAGTAATTGTGCTGCAGATGTTCAAACGCGAATATCATATGTGTACGGAAATCAAAAATACAAGGATTAAACCGTAGAGCCTAGGAATAGTAGATTGAAACCAACTTATTTACAAATGATCAACAAAGAAAAACGTTCAAATGTAGGTATTAATAACGTAAATTATTAAATACAAAATTTACCAATACTATAAACATGATTTATGATTTTTATAATTAATGTTAATTATTGATTTTCACTATAATGTCTTTAATACTATTGTTCCGGACAAGTAACTGTTTCGGGAGTAGACACTCATTATTGCCCGTCATATTTCGAAGACGTTGGGTTTTCCCCAACACATGCCAAAAACGTGCGTAAAGCGTTTACCGGGAGTTTTTGCGTGGTCGATGGAGCGCGCGCGGGTTGAAAAGAGAAACGAACTAAAAAAAAAAATGCGGAAAGGAAAATGAGGATGCGGCAGAGAACCTGGGTGCCGCACGTTTTGGATCGACAACGATGTCGCGGCGAAATAGCGCAGCTACGGTAAAATTAAGATTTACGGTCGCGTTTGGAAAACCCGAGAAAACAGATGTTGCCCTGTCCGTGCGCCGTCGTAGAGTAATAAAATGGTCAGCGAGCGACAGGGTCGGGCGCCTTTTCAGGGCGGCGGGTGAGGCTCGAATCGTCGAGGTTCACGCGCCGGACCGAAATAGGCGCCGCGTATGTAAACTCTGATACGTCCTGCGTGAAAATTTGTATGCTACTAAATAGGTGTAATCGATAGCGAAATTAGAAATAGCGAGAAGCGAAATCACTTCATTGAGCGGGCTCCCGAGTTTCCTTTTGTCGGCCCCTGAAAAAGTTTCTCAAACCTTCGTCCAATTTCGTATGCTCACGTCATGCAGTGGCTAATGCCCTGCCTCGTTGTCGAAGACGCAACGCCACTATCACCGCCCTCGACGCATGCCACCACGCGCCGTGAGCGCTTATCAATAAGCGAGCTCGCGGCCGTGTTTGGGTATTGGATCGATGACACATCGGTTGTCGCACCCGATACCCGCAAAGATCAGGAGCCCGTCGCTCCCACCACTCGAATTTGCGGAACGGGGGGCCAAATCGGGCCTCACCGAGGCCGACCGGCAGCGTCGCATGAGGAGCGGGGTGGTAGGCCGCGCGCACAATTGGCCAAACGGCCGAAGAAAAGTACGCCCTCACTTATTTGAGCCTCAAAGAAAGGGCCAGGATGAGCGAGTTCGCAGCGGAAAAACCCGGCGGAAAGCAGGACACGCCCTGGTCCGGGAGACGGAGTGGAAGGAGGAAACGAGGAAAAAACTTCTCTCAGCGGTCGAACGGGCTGCGAGCCGAATTCACTCTGGACTGGGCGCTCGAACAATCGGGTAGTTTCGCTATTTTAGAGTAACCGTTGCTAGATTTAGATCCTTCGTGACTTTACCTGTAGTTCGATTTGCGTCTTATTAATTTGTATTAGCGTTAAGACTTTATTGTACTTCGGGATTCAACCAAGCTTTTTGTATTTGATTTGTTCAACCTTTGATACACTATTTGTATATTAAATTACACCTTCTCTCTATCGATCAATTATTATTTCACTCTTCCTTAACCCGAAAAAATGGTGCCCCGGGTGAGGAATTGCGAATAAATAGAGTGAAATTCAATTTATCATCAGACAGTAGTGTGCTCGCGCGGTGTGTGTAAGTGACTATCAGTTGTGTTGCTATTTACTGGTGCACAAAAATCATAAATGGCGCCACGAAAACGACAAGCTCCTGCGAAGCCAGCCACGACGGCTGAAAAGCGGCCACGGCGCGCGGCGGCCGCGCTGCCAACGACTCAGGCCCGGGGAAGGAAGCGAACCGCTGTCAAGACTCTCGGCCGAGATGCATCGACAGCAAAGCTGCCACATACGCAACCGGCACATCAACACCCCCCGCAACCCGTTGACATCGAGGCTATCGTGATGGAACAGCCTTCGATCGAATCGTCGGTACGCAGAAGCCGCCGGCCAGCTAGTAGCCCACCGCCAAGTCCCGTGGTTCGACAAAGCAACGACGGGCAGCCACACGAGACTCAAGGTACGACGGCGCCGAGACAACACACTGTAAACGGCAGCAGTGCTACCAATGATCAATCGAGTGCGTACACCAGCGCAGGTATAGATCCGACGAACTCTATCGGGCAAGCGTTTTTAGAAACGTTGCGCATGGTAAGGGACGTTGCTGCTAGCGAGAGTGAATCGCGCTTGGGGGGACGGCCCTCTTTCTTAAAAGAATTACCTGAATATACCGGAGACCCGCTTGAATGAGTGCTTTTTGAAAAACGCTTTCACGATTCAACGCGTGACTTCGGTTACTCGGACAGCGACAACATCGCTCGGTTGCAGAGAGCAGTACGCGGAGACGCGAAAAGCAAGGTCAAAACGCTATTGGCAACCGCATCGACGACAAAATCAGTACTAAATTCACTTAAATTGCAATACGGCAATCCGGCCACGATCGCTAACCGAATTTCGAGAGATATTACTGATTTACCGTCGATGAGAAAAGGTGATGCGAACATAGTCGAGTTCGCCACCGGGTTGAACAATGCGTTGACAGCTTTCAAGTCCTTGTCGCTGACGGAGTATCTGACTGAGGCCACGCTGTGGAAAGTGGCAGTGAGTAAACTCCCTGAAAGTTTACAAATGTCGTTTGCCGACCATTTGCCAACAGTTATTGGAGACGAGTCAAAATTAGAAAAACTATCTGCATTTTTGTTACAAAAAGCCGTTAACGCTGTCCACTCGGGAATCGTCGATCTAGCAGCAGAGTCCTCGCGCCAGCGCGATAAACATCAAGTCGAACGTAGGCGAGATGCTCCAGGGGGGCACACGAAAACGTCGCGAAACGCAAGAGTTTTTACTTTGAGCTCCAACGAGGGTGTCGAACTTCGAGAGGAGAGACGCGATGATGAAAGTTCAAAGACAAAACGAGAATATCTGCATTGCGATAGCAGCGGTCACCGGCTTCGCGACTGCCCAGGCTTCAAAAAACAATCCAGCGACGATCGATGGGCAATCGCGAAAGCTGCGCGCGTTTGTTTTAAGTGTCTCGGAGATCGACACTCTCGCGAAGGCTGTAGGTCAAAACAAGGCTGTGACAGGTGCGATCGGCCGCACCATTCTCTGCTGCATTACTCTAAGAAAAGAGGAGGTCGCACTCAAGGAAAGAGGGAACCAAGGGCGCGCTCCACTGACCGCTCACAGCGAAACGACCGCGATCGACCAAACGTTTCCAAGTGACTAGAATCAAGAATGGGCCTTCTCAAAATATTACCAATTCGCGTAAGGGGTCCGAACGGAATAGCGAAAACGTACGCATTACTAGACGGGGGCTCTACCATTACGGTCGTTGATCAGAAACTCGCGCGAAACTTAGGCTTAAGAGGGCAACAAGTAGACATGACAGTGCGAGGCCTTTGGAGCGGAGAAAGGCACGCTCAGTGCGAACAAATTAGCTTTGAAGTCGAAGGCAAGTTCGGCGTTGAAAAGGTCGGACACGCGCTAGCCGTCCCGCATATGGATTTGCCAACACAATCGTTGCCCAGTAGAGTCACTCAAAAAATCGCTGACGAATTGGGGATGAATGTGGAACCGTACATAAACGCGAAACCTCTAATCCTTATTGGTCAGGATAATTGGTCATTGCTGAACGGCACGGAGTCGCGATCGCTGAAGAATGCTGGAGTGGCGGTGTCGCGCACGGCATTAGGCTGGGTGATGCACGGCTACCTCGGAGGCGAACAAAATAAAGGCCGAACGCTAAATGTGCGGGCGACGGTATGCGTGAACGAGCGCGACGGCGCCGATGAGCCAGACGATTCAAATAAATTAGAACATCTTTTTCGACAATATTTTATATTAGATAACCTCGGAGTTTCAGAAACAAGCGCTGTAGAGCGCAAAGAAAACAGGGCGATGGAGATTTTGCGAAAAACGACGCGTAAAATCGGTAAAACGTGGGAAACGGGATTATTGTGGAAAAACGATACACTGCCGAGTTTAGACACACGAGCGACGGCGCTCAAACGTCTGCGTGCGTTGGAAAAACGTCAAGATCGCGACCCAATTTTCGCGGAACTTTACCACGGAGAAATGCGTAGATTAATTGATGCTGGGTATGCCGTCAAAGTCAAACACACCAGAGAGCCATCCCGCGTTCGATACGTTTCGCACTTTGGCGTGGAAAATCCAAATAAGCCTGGAAGGGTTCGACTGGTTTTCGACGCGGCGGAGAAAACGCAGGGAGTGAGTATGAATGACCTGCTTGATACTGGCCCGGACCTACTCGAGTCACTCCTCGGAGTTTTGACACGTTTCAGACAATACCCATACGCGGTCAAGGCCGATATTAAAGACATGTATCTCCGCGTCAGAGTGATTGACAGGGATCGCGATTCGCAGCGGTTTTTGTATCGTGGGGCGAATCGTACACGAGAGCCAGATGAATGGGAAATGACGTGCCTTATATTTGGGTCAAAATCATCACCCTGTAGCGCACTGTACGTTAAAAATACTAACGCTGAGCGATTTTCGCGACTGAAGCCAACAGCGGCGAATAGTATAAAACGAAATTCGTATATGGACGATTACCTAGCGAGCGGAATCGATGAAAACGAGATGAAAAAGCTTGTTCACGACGTAACCCTAATTAATAGCGAAGCGAATTTTGAATTACACGGTTGGGCTTCGAACGAAAATAGTATCGTAGAACCAGTACGAGACGATAGTAAGTTGCAAAGCGGCGAAATTGCGAGCCTATGCAACACTGAAGAACGAGTGTTAGGACTATACTGGGACCGCGATTCAGACGACTTACGATTCAACGTAGGGTTGCGCAAAATCCGGGAGGGCATCGCGACTGGAACTGAAAAGCCCACGAAACGTGAAGTGCTGAGTGTCGTCATGTCGGTGTATGACCCACTGGGAATATTGTCTCCATTCACACTAAACGCGAAATTGATTATCCAAGACATCTGGACTAGCGGAGTCGGCTGGGACGCAAAAATCCGAGACTCGGAATTTGCAGCCTGGTCGAACTGGCTGACGCAATTAAAAAGGATGTCCGATTGTAAAGTGCCCCGCTCATTTATCCCAAAAGGCGCCGAATATGAAGATACTCAGCTGCATGTTTTTTGTGATGCAAGCAAGAAGGCATTCGCCGCCGCCGCTTATCTTAGGATTACCGATCGTGATGCAAAGGTACATTTAGCGCTCGTGATGGCCAAGACTCGAGTCGCGCCCGTGAAACCTTCAACGATTCCTCGACTGGAACTTCAGGCTGCGCTCCTCGGGGCTCGCCTCGCTGCGACCATCGAGCAAGAGCTCGATTTGAAGATACACAGTCGAACTTTCTGGTCCGATTCGACCACTGTTCTACATTGGATCAAAACCGGACCGCGCACGAAACAGATCTTCGTAGCTAACCGCTTAAGCGAGATCAATCTGACAACGCGCATGACCGAGTGGCGATGGGTTCCCACAAAACTGAATCCAGCCGACGATGGCACGCGCAAGTCGGATCAACCCATGCTTTCGAGCGATCGTTGGCTCGTCGGACCTAAATTTTTGCGGGAAAAAAGCGAGTCATGGCCGGAACGCGCAATTGACGACGCCGAGAAGCGAGAGGCCGATATGTTGGAAGCAAAGAAGGTGTTTATTGGAACGATGAATATCAGTGATTCGAATAAATGGGAAGTAGATGTAAAAGTTCGTTTGTTAGGTTGGAGTAGAGTGGTAAAGACGGGGGAGCGTGTTCGAAAATCATTTTATCGATGGTACGAAAAAACTCGAGAAAAATTAGGCAAGCCAATAAACATCGTCGGCGTAACCTTAGAGCGAACCGAAGACTTGGTACAAAAACAAAGAGCAGGGGAAAAGTTTTGGTACCGCGTTATACAGTCAACGCACTTTTCAAACGAGCTTGACGCTCTCAGAAAGGGTAGAGGGGTTGCTCGAGGCAGCAAAATTATTAGCCTGCGTCCGTACATTGACGAAGAGGGCTTGCTCCGAGCTCGAGGGCGCGTGGTGAGGACATGGGACGAAAAAGTCGCCGGGCCCAAAAGCGAAAATAGCGAATTCGAAAATCGACCGATAATATTAGACGCGAACCATTACTTGACTAAACTTTTGATCGCCTTTTATCATAAACGACAATTTCACGGCAGTAACGAAACAATAGTGAATGAAATGCGGCAAAAATTCTATACAGTTGGACTGCGGACGAGTCTGAGGTGGCTCGCGAAGCGTTGCATAACCTGTCGATTACGCCGTGCGCAGCCTCAGAACCCTCCCATGGCCGACCTGCCAGAATGTCGCCTTGCGAAAGGACAACGGCCATTCACGCATTGCGGTTTAGATTACTTCGGGCCGATGTACGTGAAGATAGGGAGAGCAAGGGTTAAGCGATGGGGTGTCCTATTTACTTGTATGACGACGCGTGCGATTCATTTAGAACTAGCGAGCACACTAAGTGCCAGTTCGACGATACTTGCCGTGCGGCGATTGGCAGGCCGAAGAGGATACCCGCGAAAGATATATAGCGACAATGGCACTAACTTCATACGTGCCAACAAAGAACTAAACGCGGAGGGAGTAAATCTAGACGTAAACAAACAGCAGCGTTTCGCGCGATCAAAAAACATAGCGTGGCATTTCAATCCTCCCGATGCTCCACACATGGGGGGAGCATGGGAGAGATTAGTTCGCTCCGTAAAGATAGCGCTTAGTCACGTTTTAAATGAACAATCACAAAGCGAAGAAGTCCTCAGCACCTTGATGGTCGAAATAGAGCACATGGTGAACTCGCGACCGCTCACCCACGTATCCGTCGATCCAGACGAGGAGGAGGCGTTGACGCCAAATCACTTCTTAATCGGGCGATCCTCCGGGTATCCAGACACCGACAGTTGCGACATGGAAATTGTAAGCCCACGGCGGACTTTTGAAATAACGCAAAATCTCGCGAATGGCTTCTGGAAACGATGGCTTCGCAGTTACCTTCCGACTCTCTTACCTACAAAGAAATGGCATCGAAACTCACCTCCTCTTCAAGTAGGCGACGTCGTAATGATAATAGATCACCAAGCGCCGCGTAACACGTGGAAAATAGGTAAAATAACCGAAGTGTATATAAATAAGACCGACGGAGTGGTACGTTCAGCAAAAATTCGCGCCGGAAAAGGTTTTTTAGACCGACCAGTACACAAGCTTATTAAGTTACTTGGAACCGATGAGTAAAAAATGCTCTCGATTTTTAACTGGGGGAGAATGTTCCGGACAAGTAACTGTTTCGGGAGTAGACACTCATTATTGCCCGTCATATTTCGAAGACGTTGGGTTTTCCCCAACACATGCCAAAAACGTGCGTAAAGCGTTTACCGGGAGTTTTTGCGTGGTCGATGGAGCGCGCGCGGGTTGAAAAGAGAGACGAACTAAAAAAAAAATGCGGAAAGGAAAATGAGGATGCGGCAGAGAACCTGGGTGCCGCACGTTTTGGATCGACAACGATGTCGCGACGAAATAGCGCAGCTACGGTAAAATTAAGATTTACGGTCGCGTTTGGAAAACCCGAGAAAACAGATGTTGCCCTGTCCGTGCGCCGTCGTAGAGTAATAAAATGGTCAGCGAGCGACAGGGTCGGGCGCCTTTTCAGGGCGGCGGGTGAGGCTCGAATCGTCGAGGTTCACGCGCCGGACCGAAATAGGCGCCGCGTATGTAAACTCTGATACGTCCTGCGTGAAAATTTGTATGCTACTAAATAGGTGTAATCGATAGCGAAATTAGAAATAGCGAGAAGCGAAATCACTTCATTGAGCGGGCTCCCGAGTTTCCTTTTGTCGGCCCCTGAAAAAGTTTCTCAAACCTTCGTCCAATTTCGTATGCTCACGTCATGCAGTGGCTAATGCCCTGCCTCGTTGTCGAAGACGCAACGCCACTATCACCGCCCTCGACGCATGCCACCACGCGCCGTGAGCGCTTATCAATAAGCGAGCTCGCGGCCGTGTTTGGGTATTGGATCGATGACACATCGGTTGTCGCACCCGATACCCGCAAAGATCAGGAGCCCGTCGCTCCCACCACTCGAATTTGCGGAACGGGGGGCCAAATCGGGCCTCACCGAGGCCGACCGGCAGCGTCGCATGAGGAGCGGGGTGGTAGGCCGCGCGCACAATTGGCCAAACGGCCGAAGAAAAGTACGCCCTCACTTATTTGAGCCTCAAAGAAAGGGCCAGGATGAGCGAGTTCGCAGCGGAAAAACCCGGCGGAAAGCAGGACACGCCCTGGTCCGGGAGACGGAGTGGAAGGAGGAAACGAGGAAAAAACTTCTCTCAGCGGTCGAACGGGCTGCGAGCCGAATTCACTCTGGACTGGGCGCTCGAACAATCGGGTAGTTTCGCTATTTTAGAGTAACCGTTGCTAGATTTAGATCCTTCGTGACTTTACCTGTAGTTCGATTTGCGTCTTATTAATTTTTATTAGCGTTAAGACTTTATTGTACTTCGGGATTCAACCAAGCTTTTTGTATTTGATTTGTTCAACCTTTGATACACTATTTGTATATTAAATTACACCTTCTCTCTATCGATCAATTATTATTTCACTCTTCCTTAACCCGAACAACTATCAAAGGAAATGATTGAATTTTGAATTTATGATAACCTAAATATTATATATTGCAAAGATAATATTTCAACATTCAGACAATTTATTAATCAATTCTCTATAGCAACTTTAATATATCAAATTGTCTATTAATGTATGATCTGTGAGAATGAATTCGAATTATTTCAGAAAATAATTGTTTAACCAAATTATACTCTGTATCTAAATCAATATCTATTTATATAATCAATTAATAAAAGAAAAGTAATTATATAAATTATATAGAATATAAAAATAAAATAATGATACTCTATTTGAGCAATATAAAATATCTTGAATATAATTTTTAACATGATAAGAAGATCATCTGAAACACTTAATCTTTCGTAGAAGCTTGTGTTTCTAACATTAATTACGGTAACGTTTTATCACGTTGTTAAAAAAAAGAAAGAGAAAAAATTTCGAAACTGCAGATAAAAAAGGTTCTTGTAATAACACAAACGAAGAAATGCCAAGGAAAGCTAGAAGAGCGAGAAACTTTAAATCACAAATGTATGCGGTATCCAGTTGAAGGAGCACAAGAAACGAAGACAAATGCCTGAAGATGAGTGTTATGAAGGGGAAACGCGATAGCTGCGAGGACAAGTGCACGAACGCGAGCCACTTTGAGAAAGACGAAGCACTGCCAAGGTTTCTCTTGGCCTTATGTTTGTTAAATTTATCTAGTAAATAAGCAGAAAGTTAAGCAGCTTTCTAAGAAAACAATACTTATTAGAAAATTTAATAGAAAAAAAGCGAATATGTGAAATTAAAACTTGCTCTGATTTTCTGAAATAGTAACTACGACACCATATGAAAGTACGAGACGCGAACCATCATTTTATAGTCTGATTAAGGAGATAGATATTTTTTAATAGTTTTTCAAAAATGTCTTTGAAATTGAAAAACCTTTGATCAGTTGGCCGAGAATTTGTATATAGTAATGATCAGATTCTCAAGTTTTCTAGAAAATTAACACCTAAAAGAGTAGAATTTCACTGCAATTTATTTGGGAAGATAATCGCTACGTCAAAATTTGAAGAAAACTTTTTAAATTACACTATTGGATGAGTACAATATTTCGAAACAATACCGACTGAATAAAGAATAATCACAATAAACAAGTTAGCAAAAAAGAGAAAAATAGCTTTTCAGAGAAAATTTACACCCCGTTTCTGGGCTATTGTCTTCTCAGAAGCTCGCGCAATATGCGCAAGGATGATATTGAATTCTTGGAAGATATTTGTTTTCTGTTAGCACTCGCGCTTTAGACATTATCTTGCATTTGCATTTCAATTGCATCCAACGAGTATGCCCGTGAGAAAAGAAACATAAAGAAAATCAAAGAAAAATTTGACGATTAGTAAAATTTATTAAACTAAAAGTAATTTAGTAAAGTGAACCATTTCATAAAAATTATTACTTTTAAATGAGTAAAGTATGAGATATATAAAATTTTTAAGTAAATAATTTAATCGAATGAAAAATATTATAATGTGACATTGCAGGTCGGCCTTATGAATTGTAGCTACAGGAACGCAACTACTGACTCGTGACACAATATACTTTCTAATTTATTTACTTTCATCTTACAAAAAGTTTATTTTGTTTATTTTCAGGTAAGTGGTAGCCCAATCTCAAGCCCAAACATTCAACAATCCATGCGCTAAATGTCTTTTATTCCGTATCCACGATGTGAATATCAATGGTAAATGAAAAGCAAATATGTGAATGTACGATGCATGCGCGTGATCTGAGCGTCCAATGCTTTCATTGTTTGTTCCGATCACGTTAAGCTGATCGAAGGATAATACAGCTTAACATTCGAATGCGACCATCCTAGGTTGGGTATTAATAAATTCTAAATCAGTTCTCTTTTTATAGATAACGATTTATTTATATTTTCTACTAAGTATCTGAGAACAAAATTCGTGGTTTTATTTCTCAATAGTACTTGAGTAATTTCATTGAGCGAGCTTGATGAAATTGTCGATGTAATAATAATAGAGTGCTATCAATAATCGCAAGTTTCAAACAAGTAGTATATGAGGAATGCGGCAAGAGCTGTCCAGCTCGGAAGGTTCGAAGATTCCGTGGCGGGCGCGCAAGTTGGACGTATAAAGCTGGGGGGGGGGGCAGCACATGGAAGGGGAGGGAGACGTGAGTAGTTCGCAGGAGTCAAGTCTGCAGAATGGTAGGAAGCAATTAATAACTTTGTTGTGGCTGGCAGGCAAGCAGGCAAGCTGCCTGGTAGGACCTGGCGCGCTGGCGCGTTACCTTGCAATAATTACGACGTCACGCCTCCTGCCTAACCTAATTAACTAATGCTACGATTATTCCGTGCAATGCATGCCTTGCCACTACCCCGCGAGCGAGCTTTTCACTTCTGAATGTCATTTTTCATTATCTTTATTTCCTCTGTTTCTTCCATTCTTTCTTTTTTTATCAAAGAGGTAGGTAAGGGGTACAACTAACGTTTAGTTGGTAGTGCAAGCACTTGTAAAAACTGTGCAAGCATTTTTTTCAGTGCGCCTGCGCCTCCGGGGAAATCTCGGACTTTTATGCAGGCCGGATTTGCTAGGACGATATTAGAAATAAGCTCGCCGGGGATTCGCGTTCCGACCTGTCGGTGCGACTTCGTATTCAGTCTATGTTCGCAAATGTATGCGTACCTATATGCCAATGAAGAGGTTATCCGTGCATGAGACTATGCTATTCTCGCTTGGTTTCTTCTAAAGGTAAAAATTTTTAGTGTCTTCATTTTTGTGAATAATTAGATTGGAATATATTTTTTTATGGTTATTGAAAAATCTGTTGTATATTCTTGCAGTGCTGAAAGCCCGTACCTTACTTAATCCGTATTTATCTGGGAGTATTCTGTGGTAAATGATAGATCATAGTTTTGGTTTTGATAATTGAAAAATATCACAATCAGATGTATAACTAGCAGAATCGAACTATAAATCTCGCTCATGCTGTTGTAGTATATATTGGTGTAGTATATATGTTATTTGATGATTTATAATATTAGGATGAAACTGGAAAAATTCAGGTCAATATTATAAAAATTAATTTCACGTTAAAACAAAAAAACCTGAATAAGGACTTTTTTCTACCATAACGAAGAATTAAATAAATTTAAAAATTATTATAAAATATATAGAGAAATATATTATTATAAAAGCGATCCGTTAAAACCTTAAAAGTGTTTGCAATAATAGAAACTCAAGCTTTTTATTTAGAGAGAACATTATGATTCGTTTGGAAAAATAATATGAAGTCGATAAGAAATGGTAATCTTTTAATCTAGAATACATTAATTTTTATTAGAGTACTTTTACAAAACTGCTGGTTCAAAAATTATTTGATTTTTATTGAGAAATTATTAATGTTTCTCAATGGGACTGTGTGCGCTTTAAAAATAATATTGATTTGCAAACGATTTGACAGCTTTCATTCATATTGTTTAGAATGATAGAATAAGAATAACTGTTGCATACAAATAAGGGAATAATACGTAGCAACATAATCTTACATATAGCTTTAAGTGAAAAACAAATGAGCTAGATAAATATTAAGTCTTCACAATATATCCA